TAGTGTGACAAATCCTGATGCTATGGGAAAGTCATGCTAATCACCGATATTTATACTGGTAGGTCTAATCAAGTCATCTATAAAAACCATTGATGAGTATAGCTTTCACACCGATTCCACCAGCCCTTCCATCCTATCATAACAAGTCCCACTCATTATATGGCAATAGTTTTCAAATAGTCAAGTGCCTTATAAGTTAAGTACAATTATGGGACATCTCTGCACTTGTTTTCAAGTATTAAAATTTTGGTTCAAAAGTGTTTCCAATGGCTCGACAGATGTGGCAACCATTACGTCATTTCGTCGCAATTTCATCCAAAATTGTAAAACTGATATTATTTTAACAAAAACTCTAATCAAAGCTCTATTTCTACTTTTGTTATACACTTTCAACAAACTATTGAACACACATTTCCAACTCTACTCTATTTGCTGAGGACTGGCACATAAACAGTGGAGAGAGAGAGAGAGAGAGAGAGAGAGAGAGAGGGCTCCCAAATGAAAGGCAAAAGCGTTTAAGCGTTTAGAGAGTGAGACTGAAAAGTGTATAAAACTATAGAAGAGTACAAATATTTATTGGTTTCACTTTTATAACAATTTATTATATATCGATAGCTTTAAACCCAGGGGCAGGTGCTATACACTGCGTATAGCAGAGGTTAAGCCTTCGCACTTATATATTTAGTCTAGCTCAAAATTTTATGGTTTCAAATCCAATAATCATTGATTAGGGACCTGGGCATCCAATATTTGGAGTAGTAGTACTGTATATTATATATGGTGTGTGGATTAGTTGGAAATGGGAGGTATTGGGAGGCTGTGTGTAAAAAGGATTTGGTTGCCCACCACCAAAAATATGAGAGATTATAATGATTATGAAGCAAATGAATGAATACAGCTGTCATTATGTGATGAATTTGAATGCGATTTCCAAAAATCATATTTAACTTAATATTTATGATGAGGCCGTCGCTCGCGACCAAACTCTTCACACAACTCGAGTGCAAACAAAAACTTTTTTCTCTCTTTTAAAAACTATAGACTCCTTTCAATTGTGTTTGTGTTTTCACTCACTCTTTATTGTATTGATATAATCAGCAAATATTTCGGTAAAATAATATTTCAGACGTTTATTTCGGTGTCTTATCTCTCGATTTCATCTCATTTCCCACACAATTCAATAGTTTCCTAATGTTTGGCACCAAATCGTCCCAACACTTGAGCATCGACTGGAAAAAGTGAAAGTCAACAAAAACACGTGCCTTACGGCTCAAAATGCATATAATTTTGCCAAGTGCCTTTCCACTAATGAAACAATTGGTGGTTGAGGTCTCATCACCATTTCCTACAGACATGAGATCCCAATAAAAAGTACATTTCCGAGACTCGCATTTCCAGTCACAGACAATCGACATAACCGTAACTGTCATTGAAATCAATATTACTCTATATATTATGCAAACAATTGAAATAAAATCCAATACAAAACCAAAACGAAACGCTCGTCTCTTAGAGTTCGTGAACAACAGACAGGAAATGATTTTTTGTTTAAAATACATAACCGAACATAACATCCCTTACCACCAAATTATAGGTTTCGTATTTTTTGTGGCTAATTGTCATTATGATTAGGTCAGGGTTTCTGTTACTCAATACTTGTCCGCAAAATAACAAAATACTGTATCCTTTGCCTCAATGCAGAGTCAATTAGAGTGAGAGACAGTTAGAGAGACAGTCATCCAATGCATTGCTCGACAATTGAGACAATCGACCGACTATTCTATGGACACATCTGTCATAGTCTGACCCCTTCTCCCCTCTCCAAGACTTGTATCGAAACCATTTCACAGAGCAGTGAAGTATTGGATACATCGATGTATTACCTTTTGATGAGTTGAGAAGCAATTCATTCAATCATTCATTTATGGCTCACGTGTTCTCTCTTCAGTTCCCGACTGCTATCGAAAGCAATGAAAAGTAATGAAAGACAACCCTATCCTAAGCAACCGTAGACTATGCCTATCGAGTGTCACAAAAACCCTATCACTATCACAATCTCAAGCCCTTCAGTATATATTCTGTTCAAATAAAAGGGGAAATATTATATTATAGTAATTACCCCTTCGGTGGCGTAACGTCTCTTTAAAAGGGTTTGCAAATAGTTTTGAGTTAGAAATGGTTTAAACGATTAGTCTTTTAAGCAGTCGTTTGTCACTGAATGCTATTTTATACGATTATCTAATCAGATATATATATATAGACCTAAGTGTTTGGCAATTCTGTCTCTAATGGCACTAATTTAATGAATATATTCCAAGAAGTTTACTGAAAATCCGTGCTCTCATTGAGGACTTATTTTTTTAGTTGTTTAGCGGACTGTATGGGCGGACCTACACGAGGGGGACAGCAAGTAATGGGACATTTAGAGTCGCGTGTACTAAAGGTTCCGACAAAAGCAAAGTATTGTGAGTGCGGGACCTGTATGGAGGGGAACGGTGCGGGGAAAGGCGGGTTCAGCAGACATAGGGGTGACTATAAAACGCGATGCAGAGGACAGAGAGAACCCAAACTCAAATTTATCACAACTCCGAGCGATACACAGAATCGTGAGCTCAAGTCATACTGTCGTTATAGTGTATGCTCTTTGCATAACACACTTTTCAATAGTGAGCCCCATATCGACCAATCCATTAGACACCACCTCAGCTCCGGTGCATCTCATACACCATATATATACAGGCCATACACCTGCCCTATTCATCCGACACATACTGTGCGCTCATTGCTTCTCATGCGAGGCTAATATATCCAACGTCTTTAAGAAATCATAATTTGGGCCCAAGAATAGGAATTTTACAATTTCTCCCCGATATTGCTGCCAAATAAAGTAAGTTTTCATATTTTTTTCGTATTTTCGCTATTTATATAAAAATCTCTTCATTTATCATATTCTCTGCTAATATTTTCATAAATGTATTCCTTATTTCTCTAAATTTATTTTGAAACTTATTTCTCTCCGAACTATAAGAATAAGGGCTTAAAATTAATTTAACAAATGGGTTAAAATATATTGGAGTAAAACTTTTAAAATAAGTTTTGAGAAAACTTTGCACCGCTTTTCTAATGTAAATCAGAGTATATTTGTTGTGATTTTTTCGATTTTTGCGATATATTCCTAACGCATGATAAACATTGTCATCGGTTTTGGTGTGTGTTGTCGTAAATGTCTGTGCGAGACATAGACTTCTCTCACTCGCTGGCCGACCATTTCTTTAGAGGCAATAATTGAAAAGTTTTTGTGAAGTCTTAACACAAAAATCGTGAATAAGAGAAGTCCGTATCCGATGCATAAGAATTCGCGGATTGAAATGCAGACAAAAACACTCAAAGAAATTCTGAAGTGCTTTGGCTTTTGTTAAGTCGAAAACAGAAAACAGGACGAACTCTCGTTATAAGCAGTCCGTAAGCTCAGGCATCCAATTCCTTCCACACGGTTTACCCCTTTCTCTGATTCAATGATTCATTGATCCCGATGTGAAGCCTGATTGTTGTGACCACAAAGACTGTGCTCTCGACTAATGGCCACCGAATATCATTAATATTCATAAAGTCACACCATTTTCATACCTTATATTTCCCTAAAAACTTAGGATCGTATTTGCATTGAAAAATGAGATCTGTTTTTACATTATAATTGAATGGTATTAGTGAGTTAGTGCACTCACCGATATAAGCAAGCACAAAAAATTGAGCGCAAAAATGCCACACCACGGCTATGCTACCTCTCCCGTTGATATCGGTATGCGCTATTGTGATAGTTTTTGAGTAACTTATACAACAAAAAAGTTAAGAAATTTATATATTTAAGAAAAAAAGATATTTTGGTGAATCTCAGCGGGGAATCGATGACCTCCGCTGTGACCCCCGATAGGAAATGATTGAATGCAGGCATCGAACTATCGGAAGGTGTACTCCACTCACTCTCTCCATATACTCTACATATACCGGAGCTATGCCTACATCTCATGACTCTATGATTCCTTACGTTTTATTGAATGGCTTTCACTCGAGTAAGAGATGGATGGAAGGGATCGATAGGGGAGAGGAATGTCGAGAAACACACATCGAATACATCACAAGAAATAATACGATCGCAGACTAACAATAAGATTTCACCCATCGGTGAGAGAGAGAGAAGGATAAGGGAATAGGGGTTGACATCACTTGTATGCCCTACCAGTGCATAGCACACACGTGTAGAGCAAAAGCTACAGTATTTTTATGTAGAGTTACTTTTGTCAAACTGTTGCACTATTTATGATTGTGTGATGCCTTAGAGAATGTAGGTCTGAGTTGCCGGCGCTCAACGCCAATGAACACTATTGAACACTGCCTACCAGTGCTGCCCAACGCTAAACAGTACTGAACCATCTTTTGAGAAGAGAAAGCTTTTTCAATATCCGGAGTTTTTTCTTGCTTTCTCTCCACTGCACTGTATATCTCTGTAAAATATCTATAAGTTATACGCTATATATATGGCACGTATTGAGTCTATGATGACAGCAAAGAGCAGCATAAACGGTGCACTCCATGGGAAACACCGATAATGTGCATACAGTGCCCATACATGTCCTCAAAGTTTTCTTAGGGCTTCTTTTCACATCAAAGTCATGCAAAGCGTGGACAGTAGTGATACGTGTCTGGGAGGGGCCACCTAACAAAAAGCAGTTTAGGCTAAGTCTTTCTCCAGACTCTCTCTCTCTCTCTCTCTCTCTCTCTCTCTCTCTTCTCATTCACTTTGCGCTCTAAAAGTTTTTTACTCCATTGTATTGGAGTTTTTTATTCTGTAAGAAAATAAAAGCAATTTAAAGCCATAAAATTTTTTGTGGTTCATCGCAACAAATTGTCGCATAAAATGTCCAGTTTTTCACAATTTTATCTTTTTGTTCGCTCTTTTTATTATGAATTTTAGCGCAGAAATTGCCATAACTTTCGAAGAGATGACAACCGAATCGTTTCGTTGCGTAACGAAAGCCTACCAAAACGTACACCACTTCCACGCCATGACTCCCATCTCAAACATGACGGACTCGGATATGGAGGACTTCGACGACGAGGACCGCTCCTACGACAGGTCCAGCGATTTCATGAGTATCGGCGGCTCCGACGGCGACCACGACGACGACGACTGCGTGAGCATCACATCCAATATGTCGCACCTGAAGACGACGAGCAAAGACAAGTCGGCCACCAAAGAGAACGACATCTCGTCGCCGACCAACTCGGACGCCGACCTCGACTCGAAGACTAAGAAGAAGAGGTTCACGAAATCGCGGACTCGCGCCAGAAGTCCCACAGTTGTCGTCCGCATCAAAAAGAACCGCCGATTGAAAGCCAACGATAGGGAGAGGAATCGGATGCATATGTTGAACAAAGCCCTGGAAAAGCTGCGGAAAGTGTTGCCGGCCTTTCCGGACGACACGAAACTGACGAAAATAGAAACCCTACGATTCGCCCACAACTACATCTGGGCCTTAAGCGAAACCGTCAAAATGCTGGACTCCCGGGACAACAACAACATGTCTCTCATCGCCTCCCAGGCCATCGCCGCCGCGTCCGAAGCCCTGTCAGCGAAGCCTAGTATAGGTATAGATGTGACACACTTTCCAGCCATTAATTCGCCGTCAAGTGTCGACACATACAACAGCACCATATCGTCGTCGACGACGTCTTCGCCGCCGCCACCACTCAATTGGGACTCCGAAGCAAAACCCAAATTAGACATCACTTCCAATGGGACCGATTCCGCGGACACGTCCTCGAGATCGGGCTCTGAGAGTAGTTTTCTAATGTTGTGATCCATTAATACCATTGATATAAAAGACTTTGTCTATTGAATATATTTAATACTGAATTATATCGTGAACTAAATATCGGAAACCTTGAAATACCTTCAGATGAGAGGCCGAGAGCACAGAATATTTGCACTCTTTTATGCTTTTAATGTAAAGAATTAGATGACAATTGAATGGGAGAGTGAAAGAGAGCACTGGTAGGCAGGTTGAAATGGTTGCCATTCTTGATATGCCGCCGAATTAATCCAAGTATGACTATTCAGTACCTGCCCGTCCGAACCAGTCATTCATATTCTCTCTCTCTATTCTGTTCCCTACTCTATAAAACCTAACCCTTCAAAAGGGGGGGATTTTTATGCATTTAGTAAGGGGTCGAGAATAAAATAATTCTTAGAATCAACCGTTACTTAAACATTAAATGTTGTGTTATATAATGGAAAGCCATTACTAGTGTGCATAGAGTGTCAAACATAGTACCGAATAGTGCCATAAGACTAGAGAATAGAGAAGTAGAGAATAGGAGTGCAAAAAATAGTGAACGGAAATGTTATTCACGACTCAAACCTCGCTTTTATTGAAGGAATGCAACAAATATTATACTAAATGTTTTATATATTTATTTCGTTTTATTCAAAATTTTATCATAAATTAAACGCTAATGTATGAGAAAACACTAGTAATACGTGAGAATATTTTTCAATACCACACGTCCCGACAGTATGAAAATTATTTAATGAGAAAAGTATACTTAATTTATATGTATATAGAAATTATTAATAATTATTCTATATTTGCAAATATTTTTCACATTAACTGTACATTTTAATAACTTAATTTGTCTTAAATTTGTAAAATCTAAGCCTAAACTTCCAAAACATTCCTAACATTTAAAATACCTTGATGAGAAATACGGTATGACTTAATATTTATATAAACTCTCATTTTTGTCTTTTATATACACTGTATATATCTGGAAGTCCATGTTATGTGCCTTTTTATATATTCTATATTTTATTCTTGTATCAAATCTATTGATCTATTTATCTATAAATACTTAATTTATTATACGATAAAAAGCATTTTTTGTATATTTTTTATACAAATTGTTACTGAATTGCAATAAACTACCAAAATTGAATGAAAACTAATTTAATGTTCAATGGCTTTATTCAATTGAAAAGAGTTGTCTTTGATGTCGTGAAATAATGGCTCAAAACTGGACTTAATTGCAGCGCTGGTACTGACATTTGTATGCGGTTTTGTGCGCTGAAGTTGTATGGGTTGTATGGTCTGACATGCCAGGTGCTTTCAAAGTTGATTCATAATCAAAGAGTCGATTCAAAATAGTGTACTCTTGTTCTGATGGTTACATATATATAGCGCTATATATATATTGCCAAAGAATAGGAGCGCTTCAGCTCTGAGAGGACTACCAGCCCAGCGGAGCGCCTATTGTGCGACACTAACTGGATCTGGATCTGCATCTATGGACACGACTCACCCGTACTGTACATTCAAATGTAGACTTAATACACGGTTGGTTGAGAGCACTGGTAGTACACAATTACCATCTCCGAGGCTTATAAGCACTAAATTGGAAACAGTACTGAACAAAGTGCTAGTAATTCGTGTGTTCATCGATGTACCGGTGCTGTACTGTACGGTACGGTACTCTATCAGTACATGCACTACTCCAGTGCCCAATATATTGGTAGTGCACCGACTGAAACAACTCAATGTACATATCTTTTTTACATCCATTTCCATCGCAAACCACTAAAATCTTTATTGTGAGCCGTAATCTCAGTTGCGTTCGTGGATTAAGCGTCCGAAATGAATTGAGTTTTGTATTTTGAATAATGAAAATGAAAATGAATTAAATTAAACGCGAATACAATTGTGTGGAGAGAAACCACACACACAACACACTGCGGACCACAATACGGCTCACAATGAAAACTAAAGCATAAAAACGGAAAAATTAGTGATAAAAGTTTGGAGAAAATAGTTAATCATTTAGGGTTTGTTACCTCCGATACAGTGGAGAAAATGGAGCACAAATTTTTTAGGTACCAAAAAAAGCGAGAAAAAGCAAATGCACTGAACCCCTACGGAATCCATACAATGCAAGTGCACACAAAATAAGGTGTTTCACAAAAAATATAGATTTCTTATGCTTATTGACGCAACTTTTATGCGTGTATTGTAATAGTTGATGGATAACAGGCCCACAGTTTAGGTCATTCCGAGGGAAACAGTCCATAATAAATGGAGAATTTATTTTCTTAACGTATAATGTTTGCCTCCAATAGGAATATAAAGTATATACCTGTATTTGGTTCACCCAAACAATACTAGTGATGGAGAATAACAATAGTGAAGAATATATGAGAAAATTTTTAAAAATCATGAGTTTCTTCTCATTGTATTAATTCATAATTTCTGTGATCGTCTCAAAACGGATGACGAGTATGTCTTCAAGTATAACGTCTAAAGTTAGAGTTGTTTCTCTCTCTCTCTCTCTCTCTCTCTCTCTCGTGAGTCCGCACAACAACCTATGAATGAAAATCAATTGAATATTTTGGTCTATGCTTTAGAAATATGAAAAAGTTTTGTAGGATTTTCTGTTGAATACCCAATCGATTGTAATCTAAGAGATGGTATCGTCTCGAGAGAACTCAAGAGAACTCTTGAGTCCAAGTTATCGGTTGATTATATTCTTCTTCATTATATCACTCCTAATATATGTAGACTCAGTAAACAGGAAACTATGCATTCATGAAGTATTGAGAGAAATACACGACAAATGAAAAGACATGCAGTACTCCATCAAAAAAGTTGAGGTGCGCTCACAGACTATTTCAATGGCACATCAATAGATGCAAACTTAGAGCTAATTTCCAATGAAAACTCTGTCTGAAAGCAAATGATTGAAAAGGTTTGTAGGGATGAGTGTGAGAGGAAAGGTATGGAAAAGTCTGGAGAGATGTAAATAAGCTAATCATCGGAATAAGAGCACAGGAATCGCTTTAAGTAAAGCCTGTGCCTCAGTGTTGATCACTTCAACGGATAGTCTTTTTTGGTTCTCTCCTTTTCTCTTCTTATTCCTCATTACAGGCGAGACTCGACTCTAAACTTAGCGAAAATAGTTGACAATCGATTCACAACACAAAGTGTATGTCATTTGCATTGAACGTCAGCTTTTTCTGTCGCATTGGTCGCCAATACAGTGGGTCTTTGAGGCCCGTCAGTCATATGTGTCACTCATACTCAGCCATCGGACTGAGTATTACTCCCTCTCATTCATAGATATATATATACACTTTTTTCATAATAATGAAAGAATTATTCATGTACTGGTGTGGCACTAGGAAAGGCACTGGTACCTTTCATAGAGCCGGATATTGTGGTTTTGTATGGCATTGTCCTATTCTTCAAAGACATGTGTCAAGAATGCAACGATTGTTATATTGTGTTCATATCTGTGCGCAAACATACATTCAATTCTGTTTTATAGCATATAATATCATATTAACAATTGTTATACTAATGGCAAGGATTATCCCGAGCGACACAATAAACGCTAAGACTTTCTTTATTGCATATCATTATTGAACACAATTATCACTCAAAACTCCTATACTTTTTCGTTAAATTTTATGTTTTCGATACCTATGTCTAAAATGTCACAAAATATTAATATTGAATGTATCCATACATTGCTAAGATTCCACTATATTACTGTACCTGGATACATTGTATTGAATGAACTGTAAGAACGGTATATCAATAGATTTTTCAAATACAGATAATCTCTCTCTCTCTCTCTCTCTCTCTCTTTCTCTCAAATGGTTTAACATTTTATTACTTTCTTGAAGCCTCACTATTATAAGTTAGCATTTTAGACACATTATTCGTTTGAACAAATCATACAAATTATAATTTATTAAAGGATTAAAATAAGATTTGCGTTGAGTTTCGATAATTATGTTCACTTAGTATTACAAACACTGAGCGATTGAGACTTTCTGTCCGCATCTAAACTGCAAATGAACAACAAAAACATCAAAGTATTGGTTTGGTTTTGAGTGAAAATTGTCAAAATGAGGACTATTTGTGTGATAAAGAGCTAAAGCAGCGGAAAATTGTCAGCGGAAAGGGTGAGAAAACAGGCACCGGGATCGGCACCGGCACCCATACTTCTAAGAAATGATTACATACACATCTCTGAGCAATTTTCGTGAATGAATAAATATCCTCAAGCTTTACATATATCCTCGAGAAATAGCTTAATTTTGAACATAACTGTCGTACGGTTTGCAATAAAAATATGTAATTTATTTAAAAACTTCAATAATTTATTGATATGTGAATAATGTGTTCAAAAGAAATATTCATAAATTTTATACAAATTATGAGTTTTATCGCAATAAATGAGAGCAGTGTTCGTCAATTCATTCATAGTCTGAGCCGTTGAATAGGACTTGAAGCTAAAAAATTCTTGACTGGAGGGTCAGCCCCAATGACAATGCCTTACATACATCCCGATCCCCATTGTATTACGTCTGCGACAACAATAGACGGTTTGAATCCCGAGTTAAGCAATCATTTTGGTCTCCAATTCCTGTAACACTTAAGCAGTTATTAGAGACCTTCAAAAAACCTTAAGAAGACTTAAGAGTAAAATTATATTGAATTAAATTTATTTTTAAAATAAATCTCAATATTGCCCTGTAAAGTAGCTAGTAAACAAATTTAAATTTCAAATATATTTACAGATACTCGAATAAAAGTAATTTTTGGTCTAATAATTTTTACAAACTAATGTCTGGAAACTTTATGGAAACTAGAAAATTGTGGCAAAAATTTAATCTGATATTTGTATGCCATTTGACTCATCAATGAGTTTGTGTGTGTGTGTCGAGCAGCATATTTGCCAAAAAGATTTTTTTGTAACCGATTTCAATGGCAAACAATTATAACTGTTGAGTTAAGACTGTTTA